GGATGGATGGATGGATGGATGGATGGATGGATGGATGGATGGATGGACTATTTGACATAAATTGTTTAGTTTATCCTGACAGCATATAATGATTCAGGCCAATTTTAAACAAATTCTCTTACATATTCATTGTAATTCTCCTAATTATTTCATTCATAGTTACATTGAGCACAAAATATCCCACTAACTATCTAACTAACTAATAGTCTGACCTTTATTCATTTGCAGGTGATGAATGATTGTACCTATAAACACCTAAATATATAAATATATTCCCTATCCAAATTTCCAACCGATAATATAATGCAAACTAATAAAATGAGTAATTAATAGCTCGAAAAATCTTTCTGCCTGAACAGCATAAATAATAGAACATAAATCTTTCTCAGTTTCATGTGGATGAAAAAAAAGTCCACTGTCCTGCAGGTTGTACAGGTTTCCCTTAATCAGGTGCAAAGAAAACCTCTAAAACCTGCAAGGTGCCCACCCTCCCCACCCCTAAAGCGTAGCCTTACCTTTAATATGCTTGTCTATAATTTTGATAACTCTCCTTTTCCTGTGGTCCGTGTTCGATTTGATACACACCATACAGCACAGCAAACAACACGTTGACTACTTGACACTTTGAATAAGCAGAGTGATTATAAGTTTGAAGACACCCATGATGCTAATTAGAGAACAGTTTAACATGTCCCAATAGTCAAGTCATTTTCAGTCTCTTCTTGGGGTATCATCATTTTTGTCCAGTTTTTTTTTAATATGGTCTCATTTTTCTGTTTTATCAGTGGCAATTTTTTTTTCGGAGTGGTGATTAACCTTAAATGTTCATTACTGCTAACTACCAGTTTGGAAATGCAAAAGGATATACTGTTTTCTTCTGGAGAGGGATCAAGTGAGAATGTCTTCAGAATGGTTATAATCAAGATCATTGTAAATTTAATTGCTGTCTAATTTAAAAATGTTGAACTTATTTTTTCATGGATCACATGATATTAAATTATGTATAAACAGCTTCAAGCTGAAGTGTCGAAACGGACATTCCATTCATTCATTTTCTGAACCTCTTATTCTCAAACGGGGGAACTAGAGCCTATCCCAGTATTCAATGGGCAAGATGCAGGGTACACCCTAGGCGGTCTGCCAGCAAATGGACATTTCCATTAAGAAAATAAAATTTCAGCAGATTCATTTCAGCAGATTAATTTCCAGAGTATTCACAATGAGTTTAATTGTACATGTCCTCCTATCTAGAGTGTTTGTCAATCGAAGCTTGGCCATGGAAAAAATCAAGTGTTTTGGGTTTGATATGGATTATACTCTTGCAGGTAAGTGTAGTCATTTGTTTAATTGATTTAACTATGGTATTTTATCACCATTTTCAGAGAGATTTTGTAATAAACCTAAATATTTGGCTCCAGTATATGTGGCGTTCCACCTGTCCGTGCCATTGTTCTGTGTTTGTGCTGTTAACCTTATTTGTTATTCTTGATGTCTACTTGTATATTTTCCAACATCTCAGCTTTCAGCCATGATTTTGTGAATTTGACTTATGATAGATATAAAATGATTCCAAAGCTCCTGTTAGAGATTCCAGTTTAGTTGTACTTTGCTCCAGTTCCAGGCTCAGTGGCCTGCTGGTGAGGCCAAAAATCTATTAGACCTTTTTTTCTTTCCTAACTGACTATGATATGATGTACCACTGCCAAATTTAATGCCATTTGCTGGAATCATCTAACCCCATGCTATTACCACTGGATTAGGTTCTCTAGCCCTTTGACCCCATCTCTCCTTTTTCCTACTGGCGTGGTTTAAAACCATATAACCTGTATTTTCCAAACATAGCAGCATCTTCTTCACTTCAGGAGGATTTTGAGCTATTTGCGGATCTTAGATTTGGTTGAAGCTTTCACGGAATTATTACCCTCTCAACACTTTAATGTGAATTCTTTACAAATGTCGAGGCAAAATGGTGGAATAGTGACCACCTGTCCAGAGATGGCAGCAGCATTTGCAATAGTCTTTGTGTTCCTGCCATTGATTCTGTTTGAGCTGGCTTTCAATTACGTTTTGTGTACAGTGGTTTATCAGTCTTATGAATAAAATAAGTACTGTTTAAGTTACTTTTTTTAGTTCCAAGATCTAAGAACCACTAAGAAACCTTCAGAACAAAACTCTGGAGATGGACAAGGTAAGAAGGAACTCCAGGAAGGAATATGAATCAAACAGAGAACAGGACATAGGATAGTTAAATGATGGTAGGATCTGACAAGGAATGAATGAAGTAGAGAATTTTATATAGAGTGGAGAGGGATTATTGGAAGCAGAGCAAGTGAGAATTGAAGATCAAGTTGAACAGATAAGGAAAGCCAGAAAAACTGAGGGGCAAGACTGAAGATGGCGGAAACACAGGATAGACACCAAAGTAAGACACAGGAAATGGGGAAACTAAAACTTAGAAGAAACCTAGAAACTCAACTATGAAACAATGACAAACACGGAATAAAGTAAACAAAACCACAAAAAGTCTGAACACTTAATGCAGAATGAAACTGAGGATAACTGAATCTCTAACGAAGGACCAAGAAACAATATAAGACTTAAAAACTATACTCAGATAAACACAACATAGGAAGAACAAAAATGGGAAATACAGTAAGAACAAATACCAAAATTACAGGAAAACAGAACATGTAAAGGGACCAACATGAAAACAGGAAAGGCGAAATTTAAAAAACGCACAAAAATTCTGTACCCCTTACAATAGGGCTTTATTATAGGAATATTTCATTTTTGTGTATTTCCTTTGTAAGAATATTTACAAATATCACAGACTCTTTGTCTTTGTGTCTCGTCCTACAGAAAAATGTGAACACACTCTGTTTGTTTTTATCGTTGGTTTGTCTGTTCTTAAACCAGAGATCTGTTAGAGGTTTGTCTTAAGTTTGGTGTTAAATGTAACCATGGTCGTATTATTAACCCTTCAGCTAAGACTGTGTTGTTTCTAAGGTGCCACCACAAGTACAAAAAGAACAACAAAGGGTATCAAATATTAGGGAACTAGTGGTGCTGCCATCAAACAAATGTGAAAAAAGAAATGCAAAAATAAAATATTTCTTAAATATAATCTATTGCTTCTGAATATAGTTTCATTTATATGTATATTTTCTAGTGTATAAATCTCCTGAATATGAGTCATTGGGGTTCCAACTGACAGTGGACCGTCTAGTATCCATTGGGTATCCGCAAGAGCTTCTAAACTTTGTCTACGACCCCGCCTTTCCTACTAGGTAGGTTAACAAAGTCCTTTTTTCAGTTGTTTGAAAATACTGACTCATTATTAAACTACCAATGTAACAAGTTTACTATGAAGTGTGTCTGACTTGACTTACCTGTCTCCATTCTTTGTAGAGGTTTAGTGTTTGACACAATGTATGGAAACCTGCTTAAGGTTGACACCTACGGGAACATTCTTGTGTGTGTACATGGTTTCAGTTTCTTGCCAGGGTAAGTTTCTCACTATTACATCTTTATTATTTGACAAATTCTTTCCTGTATATAAATTCAGTGTTTGAGTTTTATAGTATTTTAGCTGTGCTATTTCACAGAGCTTTTCAGATTACAATTGTACATGTTAATAAAAATGATCAGGTATTTGGAAGAAAGAAATAATTCCAATTTGGATTGGACACATTTGCTATTAAAATTAAACTGCTCTTAAATCAACTATTCAAACAAAAACAAAGTTTATTTATACAATTTTCAGAGTTCCCCTCAGTTATTCAGTTATTATTAAGATTGACAACACGCCTATACATCCTAAAGAAAGTTCAGGTATAGGCAGGCCTCCTCCATGAACAATGACCAAATCCTCTTAAGATAAAACATGTAAAAAACTAAATGATAGATGTCCATAATTAACCGTCCTGACTAAAGACGGTAACAATGCTCAGGAGGAATCTAATGCTTACTTGTTACTGACTGCACAGATCTGAAATCCGAGAGATGTACCCCAACAAATTTATTCAACGAGGAGACAAAGACCGCGTTTATATTCTGAACACCCTCTTCAACCTGCCTGGTACGTAAGGATAATTCATATAGATAATATTAAATGTAATTTATATTATTCATGTTTGCATATAACATCATCTTATATATAGAGTTTTTTTAAGACTCAACTGACTTACACTATTCATATATATATATATAGTTTAATAAATTAGAGAATATATACATTTTAAAATTTATGGTAATTTGCAAAATTGTCTTCTTACTTGTTTGCAATTATACTGGATATTTTATACAAGGCTTAGTTTCCTAATTATATAGATACACACACACATATATATATTTATATGTACGATTCTGGGTGTGTAGACACCATTTAAGTTATTTGGGAAATGTGTGCCATTCTGGTATTTGTTGTTCTTTAACAACAGAAACCTACCTCTTCGCTTGCCTGGTGGACTTCTTCAGTAACTGCTCCAGATATTCAAGGTACCTATTTAAATGACAGAATGTTGCTTCCCTGAAAGTGTTGTATTCAAAGTAAATTTTTGTTATTGTAGTTGTTATAACATAACATTTGGTATGTGATGGTGGAAACAATAAATGTTAAGATGGAAATGTGTGAAGCTGGAATGATAGTATGATAGGATCCTGACAGTTAGACTCATATAGGGACAGTTTTAGTTATAGGGGGTGTGGAAACCATACTGGAAATATGTGTACAACCTGCTACATGGAAAAGAGTGAATATTGATTGCATTATTTAATTTGATTTTTTTTATTCATTAATTTTTTTTAGGAGAAGGAAGTTTGATATGGAAATGGGGGCCGAGGTTTATTTATATTTTTTTCAGCTGTTAGTGACAATTTTAGATTGAGATGAAGAGAAAAGCAGGTAATCTGATCAACAGCTAAAAGGTTTTGACGATAAGATTTGTGATATCTGAGGCAATGGGGAGCTAGACGATAGAGAATTGGAGCTAAAACGTTTTTTTTTCTTTAGGTGCTCGTAAACCTTACAGTATGTATTTTTACAAAACAGAAAGTGGGTTACAAAATCCAGGGGTCTGAAAATATTGTTGAACAGTTACTGAAATGACTGGGGCTATGTTCAGACGCCATGTCAAATGTTGCCCAAACTGGATTTGTTGCTTATGTATGACACAGACACAATTTTTTCAGTATGAAAAGTACAGGTGCATTGAGTCTTTCATTTTTTATTATTCAAATTTGATACGTATTGGATATTTTTCAAAGTGACTTCAATCTGAAAAGCTATGTTACTTTTATTTGATTGACATTCGACAGGCGATAGGTTTATGCAAGAATTTTATGGAAAAAAAGGCAGGAAGTTGCTAAATTTAAGGCAAACTATGTAAAACAAAAATATAGACTGACATTTTGTCAGCTTTGATTAGGACAAACTTTGAAAACTAACATGTATATCAACTATATTTACCTCCAGCTTTTAGACAAACGTGAAAGCACCCATTGCTTTTACTCTTCTCAACGAGCATCAGATGATGGCGTGGGTCACTTCTGTGTCTCAGTAGTTCCACAAGTCTTAACAGATTATTACAACCACAGAAAATGTGTCTTGTTAAATTGTGAAGGGTGAGGTTATTGTCAAGATTTGATCAAACTTATTTTACGGAGGCGTTAAGTCCAACCAGGGTAGGCTGGCTAAACCAGTGTGCTCACAAACCCTGTGTGGGATGGAGGGTATTAAGGGGGTCGGCCACAAGGATTTTGTGTCTTTGGAGTTGTCAGAGTGACAAACCCGACACAAACCCTGATGGAGTTTTCCTGACAAGACAGTAGAGTGATATCCAGATAGTGGGATAGGGGCATAGGACTGCAGGTGATCCTGACAAGTGTGGAGAATACATAGTTCCCACAGACACAAATGGTAATAAAGCGCATGGGCAACTGAGGAGACCTATATATTTATAGGCTATAGATATGGCAGAGCCTGTAGGCTGATCTTAATCCAATCATACAAATATGTACAGAAGTGTTGTTTCAATTGTGAGATTAAGGGAAATTCTTACAGACAAAAATTGCATTGTAGTTGATCATGACAATTTTAGAAGGCACTGACAGTATTCCTCCTGCTTTCAGTCTGCTTTATCATATATTATTGTTTAACATTACTCATGTCTCATTCCAAAACTATAAAATACACTTCCACAAGCTTGTCTTGTCAGGCGTATCGTTTTTGGAGAAACAAAATCATTATTAATGTATTCTTTGAATATTTGCTATTTAGAGTAAACAGTAATTATTTAAAGTAAAGGGTCATTTTTGAAACTCTGCATTCAGATGTGAAACTGGCTTCAAAGATGGAGATCTTTTCATGTCGTACAGAAGTATGTTCCAAGACGTCCGAGATGCAGTGGATTGGGTTCACTTCAAGGTTGAATCTTTTTTGGTTCCTCATCTGATATATGTTGTTGGCATGTGGCTTGTAATTTGTTGATGGCCCACAGTCACGCGTCGTATTATTACAGGGATCCTTAAAAGAAAAGACTGTTGAAAACCTGGAAAAGTATGTGGTAAAGGATGTAAGTTGAATACTAAGATTTACGTGTGGTCAAGAAGTATATTGTGTTGAAACCTTTTTTTTTCTTAACTTGGACTTTTTTTTGCTTTTGTTTCCCATCAAGCCAAAGCTTCCCCTGCTTCTCAGTCGCATGAACGAAGTAGCTAAAGTATTTTTAGTCACCAACAGTGATTACAAGTACACTGAGGTAAGCCAAAAGTAATACTCTGTTTACTGGTTATATGTGATGTCTGAAAAAGAGAAGTCGCCCAATTCTTGATATTTGCTTAATAATTAAATAAATAGTTTTCAGTCTCTTTTTTTCATTGTAAAAATCCCCACATCATTCCATGTGAAATAATTACAAATTATATATCACACCAACTTTGAAATTTCTTATGTTCTTTCTTTTCATCTTGTATAACCTGGCAGTATAGAATATGTAGTTGCAAGATGTTCCCCTTTCCACAGAAAACCGTAACACACATTGCAGGAGAATGCAAAGGTTCAAAATAGAATTTAAAGGTTGAAGGTGAATGCTTAGATATCCTAAAATGTTTAAAGGGAGAGTGAGCAGCTTAGTTTTGTTCTAGACAATGGGACCTGAAGTGTTTATAGGGTCTGGACACAAGTGAACCAAAGTTGTCCTAAAAACACTCCCAACAACAAAAGTAATCTAAAACTAGCTAATTAACGATCTGATAGATTTTTCATTATTCAAAAAAACCTTTATTGAATTATCCAAAATAACACAACAAAATTGTCAGTCTGTTCTCAGCCCTCATTTTAACTCCCTGTTTCCCAACCTGGCTGTCCACCTGTCACTACATCTTTCACCCATTTCAAAGTTAAAGCGCCGAAGCATCACCCTCCCTTGTTTCGTGTTGTAACAGCGGCATCACAACCTTCCTCCAGCATCTCCACTTTCAGAACATTCCATATCCCCCATGCTCACATACATGTACACCATATAGTGTCCTTCTCCCTGTTTAACCCCGAAGGAAACATCAAGTGTACTGTATGCAACTGAGAGTTCAGAAACATGAACACTTGTCTCCTGACTGAACATTCTTCAGCTCGTCACTCTTACAGCCAGCCCACAGCTCTGAAGCTTGCGCGCCAGCTTTCCAGAGCGTTGCAACTCATTCCCTAGAGCAGGGGTGGGCAACTCTGAGCGCCGAGGGCCACTGTCCTGCAGGTTTTAGGGTTTCCTGCTTCAACACACCTGTTTCACATCAACACAACATCAGCAGTCCTGTGCAGAGATCCATTTGATCCGAATTAGGTTCAATTTAATTCAATTCAATTTTATTTATATAGCGCCACATCACAACAACAGTTGTCTCACAGCGCTTTCCAAACAGAGCAGGTCAGACCCTACTCTGAAGTTAGTTACAGAAACCCAACAATTCCCACCTTGAGCAAGCACTAGGCGACACAGGCAAGGAAAAACTTCCTTTTAACAGGCAGAAACCTCGAGCAGAACCATGGCTCAGGGTGGGCGGCCATCTGCCTCGACCTGTTGGGGGTGAGGGAAAGAGAGGGCAAGAGGTGTGCTGAAGCAGGGAGACCTCTAAAAACGGCAGGGAAGCAGCCCCTGAGGCTCGGAGTTGCCCGTCCCTGCCCTAGAGCCTCATTGGAATTAAATGGGGGAACACCTGAAACTGTGGTATCGCAAGTGGGGAAAACTGCAGGTAAACACTGTCCACTGTGACTCCAGTCACAATCAACCCCACCACCAAACTCTCATCTTTTAAGAAGACCACTACACCTCTGTTCATCCTCGAAGCCTATGACAAGTTGGCATGTCCCATGCAGTCTCACAGCGCCCATTTCTTCCCTAAACTGAATGTGTCCAGCAGCAGTTGTTTAAATGATGACAGATACGTATATTTTTCCTGTTTCTTACAGAAAATGATGACCTATTTGTTTGACTTTCCCCATGGTCCAAAGGTAAGACTTAATCACGTGCATATTCTCAGGGTTTTGAATTAAATAGAATTTTGACATTTTCTAAATATTTAGATCAGTGTGGAAGATAAGATAAATTGACGGATGCCATTTTAAGAAGTAGAATTAATAATACTCTTTTAATGTACTTATTGCAGCCTTGTACACCCCATCGTCCCTGGCATTCTTACTTTGACTTGATCCTGGTGGACGCCCATAAGCCGGTGTTTTTTGGAGAGGGAACAGTTCTGCGGCAAGTAGACACTGTATGTTTTGCATTTGGAAATATTTGTTCACACATAGATGATACTGATAACTAAGAAGCTAATAAATAAAATACCCCCCCACACACCCACATAGATATATATAAATAATATATATATATATTAATATATATATTAATATATATAATATATATATATTTATATATATATATATTATATGTATTGCATACATACATACATGTTTTGCATGTATGTACATACATACATACATACATACATACATACATACATACATACATAC